GCCCGGGGTTGGGGCTCAAATGCGAGCGCCTGGTGGCCGGGCCTCCCCTCACGGGGCCCGGCCGGGCTTAGCCCGAACAAGCAACGTGGGGATGTCCTCCCATGGGCCCACCACCTGCAGGGGGATGTGTAAGGGGCCGGTGCGCAGTGGATTGGGCAGCAGACGAAGGCAGGGGCCCCGACGACCCGATCTCTGGACATGGAAACTAGCCCTGGGGACATGGAGTGTCACCTCGCTGGTGGGGAAAGAGCACGAGCTTGTGCGGGAGGTTGAGAGGTACCGGCTAGATGTAGTCGGGCTCACCTCCATGCACAGCTTGGGCTCTGAAACCTTACTCCTCGAGAGAGGTCAAATTGTTGAGTACAACCTAAATGTACTGCTCTTAATTCCTGTACTACACAGGGACTTTCCGACTCCACCAAGCTTGAGCATGTAGCCTTCTACCTTACCCATACTGTAGCTACCCTGCACAGGTCACAGCTTGAACAGCCAACCGATATTTATCACAGATTCCTCAGTCTTTACGCAGCTTTAGTTTGATCCTAGACTTCTCAGTTAGAGAAGAGCAACTTGTTAATAATTAATTAGCAGTGATCATGTTCTTATTTCTTATCATTTGACATTAAAGTTTGTTTGTAGAAAATGATTTCTGACAGTGACTCAGAAGAGAATTGTTCCAGTACATCAGGTCAAATCATCGAATGTTTTTGCAGCTTTTGTAAGACAGCAGTTTGTTCATCATTAAAGGTTAACTTAGGGCTACAACATTTTATTTTTCTATTCAGCCTCTTTTTATTACTTTTTTTGCAGATATGTGACAAACATCCACGGAGTGTGTGACAACAGGATCTCAGATTGAAGACTCATTTTAACCCCCGCTGGACTAGAGAAGCCACTTTCAACTCCTGACTGACTGCTATATCCCATCATGCCACTGATCGTGTTTCCCACTTCTCAGCTGCTGTGGGTGCGTGTAGTTGCACTGCTGTTCACCTGTGTGGCGTTCAGTGTCGCAGCACACGGAGCCTACCTACCCAGTAGTGGCATGGCTGACTGGTGCATCTTCTGCTGGGCGTTCAGTTTCGCCTGCACCCTGCTGGTCTTGCTGGTGGAGCAGTTCAACCTTCAGGCCCGAGCCCCAGTGTCCTGGACCAATTTCCCCATCACGATCGCCTGCTATGGAGCCCTGCTCTGCCTCTCTGCCTCTGTCATCTTCCCAATTTTTTTCCTTAAGAACCAGCCGTATAGCCAGACTCGTGACTATCGCATCGTCTCCACAGTCTTCTCCTGCCTGGCAGCGGTGGCTTACATGGGGGAGGTGTGCATGTCTAAAGCGAGGCCAGGAGAGGTGGCTGGTTACATGGCTACAGCTCCGGGCCTGTTGAAGGTGTGCCAGACCTTTGTGGCCTGTGTCATCTTCATCCTGGTCAGTGATCCTGTGTTGTATAACCAGCATGAAGCACTCAAGTGGTGCATGGCTGTGTACTGCATATGCTTCATCCTCTCCATGGCTGTGGTGGTGCTGTGCGTGGGAGAGTGCACGGGCTGTCTCCCTATCCCCTTCTCCAAGTTTCTGTCAGCATATGGTCTCCTGGCAGTTATCATGTACTTAACAGCTACTATCATCTGGCCTGTGTTCCAGTTTGACAAACGATACCGGGGAGGGAGCGACACAAACCCGATTGTTGTGTCTGTCCTCACTGCCCTCAACTTCCTGCTTTACCTTGCTGACTTGGTGTACACTGCCCGTTTAGTGTTCGTCACTGCCTGAAAACCAAAGAAATGAAGAGGGGAGACACTGAAAGATGAAGAAGAGGCATAAAGGGGCTAAGTGGTCGAGTGGCTCTGCAGAGAAGTGTAGCTGATGTTGAATCTCTGACAGAAAAGAGGAAAGTCCAAAAATCTAATGTTTATTGGAGCATGTGCACATTCACAGTGCGTTTGTATATTTCCTGCTGCCTCCATTGTAGAGCTGGGTGTCATTCCAAAATGTTCGATACCAGTTCCTAAATGATACTTTATTTGATACTAAGCTCATAAAATATCATTATTTCAGATCATTAATTTTATTTTTCAGCTCCTTGGTATTTTTGTGCACTCAAAGCAGTTTCATGACACAAAAAGTAAAGCTGTTTACCACAACCTTAAGTTCTGTTAACATTAGCATCAATAAATAAAAATGAAAAGGCATTTATTGATACTCAATGGTATTGAAGTAATTTGATCGATGTCGTTTGATACCAGTAGGTAACAGTTTATCACTTTAACCACTTATCAGAAAATTAACTATGTATGTAAGGTACATTTATGAACACATCTCATGCTGATTGGTTTAAAAAAAAAAAAGAATAAAAGAGTCTCAAGAACTTGAGGACAAGGAAGAGAAGGAACATTTTTTTGGATTGGAAAGAAATGTGTTGTAATTTCATCACAACCTAACAGAAAGAAAACTGATTATTATTATTATTATTATTTGCCTTGATAACAGTGTCGGTATTGAAATATTTGAAAGAATATAAATTGATCCAATAAATATTTTTGTCTAATAGAATATGTCTTTACTTATTTCTCACACTGTGGACTGGAAATTAAAACATTAATATGACACCAGCAGACATTTACATGAGAGGAATTTGACAATCATTACAGCTGATACACAAATCTAAGTGGTATAAAGAATATTGCCTACAACTACAGGCTATCAATGAAAACAATGTTATTGGTGGATTTGAAATTAGGATTTTTAAATGTTATTGCAAAAATATTATCTGC